ATAAAAATGCAATACACTGAAAAAATATATTAGATATATAACTAAAGTTGTCGGAATGCCGTCTGAAAGTAGATTGGTTGCTGAGCGTAAAGCAAAATGGTGGTTTTTATACAAGAAAAATTTATATTTTGCATATCAAGCAAATTTATATAAAATTAAAAGAAAGTTGTAATATATGTGATAAATTTTATTTTATATTGCTTCGTTTATCTGAAAATTTGAAGTCATATATTTTACAAGAATTAATATAATACAATTTTGCGTGTTGGAATAACGTTGAAAAATTATGCACTAATTGTGGAATAAACTCCGCCACTGAAAAATTGATATAGTGAAAGCGAAAAATATTTTTATTTTCCCATTGCAATTATTTAAATTTATTAATACGAAAATATGTAAGATTACAAATTTGTATGAATGAAGAGCTATCTATAAGAAAGAGATACAAATAGAAGAAAATAAATATAAAATTATCAGTATAATTTTTTACTATAATAAAAATATAAAGGATAGATGTTATACAAACATAGTGTATGATAAATGTGGTTGCGTTAGTGTTGCTCATGTTATCTTAGCTGTATTCTATATCGCTCGCAGTGGGAAGGTGTACACATTAATTATACTCCGTTGCGGAAATAACATTTTATTCGGAGTACATAGGGTGTGTGTGTGTGTCTGTATGTAGGTATATTATTGTACGGTTGAGGCTCCTTTCCAGGGCGGGATCCTTGGCAGTCGTTTTGACCTACGAAAGGTCCCGCGTAATGCTGGCTTCTTCGGCGAGCCGGCGTGGGCTCGAAAATTCCCCGGCCGTGCGTGTTTGCGTGGAGACGCTGGTTGTCTGACGCCGCTGACTCGTGGATCAGGATTCTTCGGCGCTGTCGGGATCCTGATGACGCCTGGTGCGAGATTCGGCTTCCGTGGTGACGTCTGCGTGGCCCGGTGAACCTGGGCCGTGGACGACACCTTCTTTGGTGGAGACGCGTACCGGGGTGAGAGCGGACGTCGGGCTCTCACGTCCCACGTCGTGAGCTTCTCCAGTGGTGGTCGGGTGCACCTAACTGGCGGGAGGCACACGGGTAGAAGCCTCCATGGACGGATTGTTTCCGCTAGTGCTCCTCCTGGGCCCTCGTTCCGTATTGGCGCGAGTCGCCTGGGTGATACCCTGGTACGCGGTCGCTTCCGCGGAGACGGTGTGCTGGGTATCCGCGTTGGAGACGGCGTCGTTGGTAGAGAGGACCAGGAAGAAACCGGAGAGCCGAGCTGGAGTCCTACGGGTTCCCGATCATCCTCGTCTTCGCTGTCGCTCCCGAACAATTCGTAGTATTGTTTGCGGAGCTGTAATCGGGCGCTGTTTCCAGCCTCGCCCTGAGGCTGTCTCTTGGTGGGCTTCAGGATGCTGCCTCTAGGACTCGTGTGGCTTGCGAGTTTTCTCCTTAGAGGAGAGTTGGCTCTGGTTTGCCTTTTCTGCTCTGGTGATCTCTTAGATCGTACCTCGATGGAGGTCGAGAGCGGAGTCTGTTCTTCCGGCGTTTCCGTCCGCTATTTATACTCCCGTTCTTTAATTGTGTGGAGTATCGGTGCTTTACTTTTCTGCGAAAATCGCGAGGTTCGCGATTCCTCGAATTTATGTAGGTCCCGTGCTTCCGCGAATTTGTCGCGGGCTTGCGTTAACCGTTCTTCTCTTCTGAAGACTCGAGGCTCGCGATTCTCTGAATTCGTGCAGGTCCGCGCTTCCGCGAATTCTCGCGGGCTCGCATTGACTATTGCCCCTCTTCCGAAATCTCGAGGCTCGCGATTCTCCGAACTCGTGCAGGTCCGCGCTTCCGCGAATTCTCGCGGGCTCGCATTGACTATTGCCCCTCTTCCGAAATCTCGAGGCTCGCGATTCTCCGAACTCGTGCACGTACGCGCTTCCGCGAATTCTCGCGGGCTCGAGCTTATCGCGCTTCGCCGCGTTTCTCGGAAACGCGTCGCGAGCCTCGCGGTTCTTGGAAGGGATCGTGCGTAAGGTGCGCTCCGTAAGCGTCTCTTTAACTAGGAGCGATGCACCTTGCGTGGCGTCTCGTTCTTTGACACGCCACAATAAGAAAGTAGATATTAATAAATAATTTAAAAGTAAAAAAATTTACTTGGTCACGAAATGCTAAAAATGCATATACAATATTCTTCGCGGAACAAACATAATAAGATTTTCTTAATTTATGCAAAATACTGTAATATCATAAAAACAGAAAGATCTCACAAAGATAAAAAATATACCAAATACATAAAGACGAGTAAATTATTTCTAAAAATAAAATTATTTCTAAATTATATCTAAAAAGAATCTCAATTAAAAATCTCTATAAAAGATTGTATAAAAAAGCAAGCTAACAAGATATCTTTATCCAAAATTATAAAAAATGTAGCTCAATTAAAATATATGAAAAAAAAAAAACTTTTATACTTAATAACCAAAGGAAACTACAAGAACAGTTCATTCTTTTTGTACTGTCAAAATGATAAATTTCAAGTATATCATGTCATTAAGTGTATCATATCAGCAAAATACGTCTTTTCATAGTGTCACAAAATGAGTTTCCAATTTCTAAGATTAGATGACACAATTTTTTAAAAACCGTGCCTGGGAACATGATGCAAATCCGTCTATATTCCTGCTTTTTGTTCGTTGTCTTTTTCAAGTAATTCTTTTTTCTTACGGAATTCCAACAAAGTGAAATTTGTAAAATCCATCGAAGGTTGCGGCGAAAACGAATCGCAATAAACAGTTTGAGGTACCTGATATATATTGTCCGTCTAATTCCGGATATATGAATCCGTTTACATTTCTAAATATTGTTCGTTATCTTTTTAAAGTAATTTATTCGTTGTAATTTTCAAGCGATTCTTCTTTTTTATGGAATTCCAACAAAAGAAATTTCTAAAACCCATCGAAGGTTGCTGTGAAAACGATTCGGGATACATGACGAAATGAGATTTCACGTATGTCGCGGCGCCCACAGATATACACATATATACTTGTTC